ATTTATTGTATGCGCCATTTGATTATTAATCAGTTGTTATTTTGCTACTGTTTATATTTCGTTTTCTGTATTTCTGCAGGGTGCCCCGTAAGTACAGGGAAATATTTAGGAGGCTAATGGTAGACATAAAGATATTGAAAAAAGTTTAGATAAACAAAGGCCCCATTCCCAGCAGAACATTGGGAAATTCAAAATTTGTTATTTTTTAAGTGAGTCACGGTTTTTGTTAAATATGAAGCGATAACTAAAAAATATTTAATTTACAAACGCTTCACAGTCAAAAAAGATCAAGATTTACTTCAGAAATTTAGATAAATATCATTGATGAAACCATTTAAAAAGGAGTATTGACCAGTTGAACCCAGCTAATTTACGTTGAAAAAAAAAATCATATATTTGCAATTTTCATTTTATCATTCTCCAACAACACTTCAGATACCCCACTTTTAGGAAAACCTTCTCGTTTAATAAGATTTGAGTACATATTGATTAAGTTAAGGTTTATTAGGAAAAATGTTGAGATTCACATCAAGTTATGTAACAAAATTATGTGAATTCATATCCGGCCCACTAAACGTTACAGTACTCTAGACTAGAGTTATGTGATTACAATAGACTGATGCAGTTATATGGTTTTTATTGCCTACAATCAAAATAATAAATAGGGATTATGCTATTTTGATGGTCTTAATGAGTATTAGTATTGATGAATATGACCAAAATTCAAAAATATGTTGTTTAAGGTTCAGCTGCATTAAAAATATGCTTCAAAAACTTCTTGTAATAACCCTATTTCCCCAGATATGAAAAAAAAAGAATGCTTTTCGAAATAGAGTGGTAAGTGGAAGATATGTGATGCGCTCACGAGATCCTTTTTATTTTTTATTTTTTTACTTAAAAATCTCATCAGGAAAAAAAATGTATGATTTTTCCTTCTTGTTCCAAAAGTGATTTATAGTTAAAATTTGAAAAAGAAAACAGAAACAATTCATTTTGAAGAGGGCAGCAGAAATATCCGCCCTATCCATTAGAAAGTTAAAGAGAATTAATTTGTAAGAGGCCGGGGGGTGATAGATGGCCCAAGTAGGGCCCTTGTGGCAGCGCCCTTTCACTTTGGTTAAATTAAACTGCCCAGATTAACTATACCTCAGCACTCCTCCCTCCTCTCCACCGGGAATCTAACCTCACATTTCGGACAAATGAAAAAAGTTTCATCAAGGGATGTACAAGAGCACCCACCAATAATGCAGGGTTCATATAACACAAGAACTGACTGTGTGAGAAAAAGTATCTAGATATACATCATGGAATATATGAATACATCTGTCACTAGGAAAAGTTTTCAAAGATCAAAATTTCAGATTAATTCAGTAATTCAAAAATTCAGTAATATAATTAGGGTAAGCTAACCAGTGAAGGAAATAGCTAAGGAAATCTTTTTTGGCTTATACCGCAGTAATTATTACAGTTATAATCTTCTCCGTTAGACATTTGGAATCTATATGGTCTACTTTTTTATTTTAACACTTTAAAATTGAAAAAAATATTCAGTTATGCAGAGGTATAATGTCCATTTTAAAAGAAACACATTTTTGCGCTAGTCATGGCCACTCTGAAATTCAATTGTTCTAATAATATACAGGGGTTCGGTACCAGTAATAGACATACCTCTGAAAAATTCTAAAATCTTTGTTTGACTATAAAGATAACGATAAAGATGAGATAACATAAATGTTCAACTTATTCTTAGCAAAACTGTTAGTAGGAAGGTATGAAATAATGAAATGAAAAATAATTGTATTCTGGGACTGAATTCCTTTTAGAATAATAGTAGAGTTTACAAAATATGTACCTTAGCCTTGTATGTAAGTATTATACAAATATAAACAAAAAAGACCTAGGAAATTGTAAGCACACACACACATATATATATATATATATATATATATATATATATATATATATATATATATACTGACACAAAGTGTTAACGCCGCATACGTTCAGATCTTTTTTTTTTCTCTCACCATATTTACCCTTTTAAATGTTAATGAAGAAAATGTTTATTTATTTTTTTTTTGGTAAAAATTGAGGGACAATTGTCTCAGAAATATATTTCTGTTTATATTATTTGTATGTCTGCCTTCGTTTGCGATGTGTTATCGCTCTGTATATACACACCAGCCCGGCAGTAATACCCTGTCTTAGGGATTAAGACATCAAAAAAACATCAAGACATCAAAATACGGCCAGTCTGGAGCTAGCCTTTGTTGACATCAGATCTATGTGAAGACGTCTACCCCCACAAGCCCAGACTCACCACATCTCACTTAGCGCCATTTTCGAAGATCAGCTGTTGGGCGCAGCTGAGTAATCGATCGAGATCGATACATATCGATACCACCCCACCATCGATTGCTCGACAGTTAGACATCGAAAGGTAACCAGGTGGAACCTCCAACCTGGCTCGTATTTTTGTTTTTTAATCTCACCAAGACATTTGAACATCAAGTTATTTTTTGGTTGCCTCAATAAATTAGTTTTGTTATTTTGAACAGTTATTTTTCTTTCTCTTGATTTTGTTTATAATTTTAGAAGTTGGGTTTATTTATATATGTTTTCTCAAATGTTAATTTGGTTTTATTTTCTCTGCATATTATATTTATGCAAAACGAATTTTTCTCGCAACTTTACACCAATATTTATTTTAACTTTTGTACTTAATTAGATCTTTTTTTATTCAATAAATTGTAAACGTTCAAAAGGGGATTTTTTATTTTCCATTTTTTATTTATTGAAATATTATTATTTTTTAATATTTTCTTGTGCATACAAATTTTTATGTTTTACAGGTCTCATTTTACTCTTTTTATTTTTTCCTTCTTTCCCAACATTTAATTTTTCTCGAATTTACTCACCTTTGAGGAACCTCACCGGGGAAGGGTTTGTGTTTGAATATTGAAATACCCCCGGCCCCAACACAAATATATCAAGAAAAATACAAATATATATATAACAAAAATAAATAAAAGTACCTAGGAAAATATCTACATAATAACGATAAACACAGATATATACAATAAAATACTGAGATATAAAAAATTAATAAATAAACATAAAATATCTTCTTTCAATTAACTGCTGATGGCCAGCATAATTACATAACCCAGAAATTTTTACAACCTTGCGGAAGTTTGATTTTGTAGTAGGTGGTGGAATAGGAGTTGTTTGAAGGAGTTTATGGACGTGGTTTGACGTATAGAGATCGGTAAGGAGTTCCATAAGGAGGTAGCGCAAATGACGAAGGATTTATTGCAGGAAGTGGTTTTATGGGAGGGGATATATAAATCTATAGGTTGGGATCTGGTATTGAGAGAGTGAATAGAGGAGCGTAAAGTGAGGAGTTCTAGGATTTAGGGAGGGTTTTTGCTTCTGAGGAGTTGGAAAAGGAAAACACCAAGTATACTGTCTCAAGTCCAACCTGTCCATCACTGGCTCCTCTATCTACAACTGGTGGGTTCACTCTAAATAAAAATTATTTTTATTCTATTATCTCGTCAGTCCTGGTAATTATCTTAGCCTACAAAAATCGCTCAAAATTAGATTTTTCCTTAATAATTCTTTTATTATTTTTTACATTCACTTATATGACAAAAAAAAAAATAACGAATCCTTTGCTACCTTAAGAATCCTTCCCCATTGGCTCTTAATGATCTTTCACATCAAGTCCAACCTGTCCATCACTGGCCCCTCTATCTATAACTGGTGGGTTCACTCTAAATAAAAATTGTCATAAAAATTATTTTTATTCTGTTATCTCGTCAGTCCTGGTAATTATCTTAGCCTACAAAAATCGCTCAAAATTAGATTTTTTCTTAATAATTCTTTTATTATTTTTTACATTCACTTATATGAAAAAAATAAAATAACGAATCCTTTGCTACCTTAAGAATCCTTCCCCATTGGCTCTTAATGATCTTTCACATCCTCTGTGCTGAAGGACCAATTAACCAAATACGTAGTCCATATGAGAATTCGTGAAATTCTAACCACCACATAACCGACGGGGAACATTTTTATTGTTAGAGGGCGCATTAAGGTTAGGTTGTTATTGTGAAGGCCGAAATATTTTTTTATATTTTACTGTTTCCGCTTTTATTTATGAGTAAATAAACACCCAAATAAGTAAATATGTTTACCTGAATTCTATCAACTATCATATTTTCGTAAACTAATTGTTAGATTAATGAAGATCGCGTGTAAAACTTAACGAACGCAGTCAATTTTCCACCTGTGGACTAATCTATGTTGCTGGTATAGTTAATAATAAGGTCAATTATCTATAATCCCTAATATAAAGCCTATTTGGTGAAGATATTTTTGATTGCAGAATATGGATTCTGATCCTATGTTATAAGATGCGTACAATTGAGAATTGAAAAATTTAGTTTGGAGGTGTGGTCATTGATGAAACAACACGCACACAAAATATAATAAAAACGTTACTGTATTATGTTCCAACTAAGTTTAAAACTAAGTTTTGAAGTCTTTATCAGGGTAACGGTATCGAATGCACTCTTCCGAAATAAACCTCTGCCTGTTGCTTTTTTTCTACCGGCTAAATGGTTGGTTTTTCTGTAAAATTGAGTATGGTCATTGTTAGAAGTATCGGCAAGCAAACGAAAATGAATCCTCGCAGGCATATAATTTTAATATTTAAGGTTTTCCAGAGAATAATAAAAAATAACTGAAGCAATTTACATTCAATTTTTTTTTTTCGATTCCATACTTTCCTTTAATTTTCTTGATGTAAAAGTAAGATAAGTAATAAATAATCAAGAATTCTCATATTATTTATATAATAGGTATATTGTATATTATGTATTATAGGTTGATTATATATTCTATAATATAGGTACATTACGTATTATATAATATAGATACATTATATATTTCACCACTATCTATTATAATTACAGGGAACGAAACAGTGCACTTGGATGAACCAAAGCTGGAGTGACTGGATCTACCAAGTGCCCGCTATTCTAGTTCTTGCTATTAATCTCCTCTTCTTGGTCCGCATCATGTGGGTAAGTTGTTCTAAAATAAAAATTTTCAATTTATTGATTGTGGTAAAAACATCACTGATTTTATGATTTTATCACTGTTATTTAACTGATAGAAATAACTGATTGCTTTCAATTTAAATGTTATAGATGAGTATATTGTTCTTATTTGAATTTTGTTTCCTATGAATAAAATATAAATAAAATATTTTGGTGATAAATTTTCTCATTCGCTCTCATATGCATTTACAGTCTAAATAATAGCACATTAAAAACAACTTCAAGTCAAGGATTATAAATTGTTTTTCATTTAATTTATCATCCTTTTGACAACCTCAAAATCAAAAGATTTAAAAAAGTCTCATAGGAAGACTGCCTCTATCCTGTCTATGTTAACTGCTTTCTAGTAATATTTCGTTCCTTTAGATGAGCTCATGTCCAATTAGTTGTTGGTTGGTTTCTTTTGCCGCAGGTGCTGATCACTAAGCTGAGGTCGGCGAACAACGCAGAGACGGAGCAATACAGGAAGGGCTGCAAGGCACTCCTAGTCCTCATCCCCCTGCTAGGCATCACCTACATCCTCTTCATCGCCGGCCCCCAGTCAGCCGTCTACAGCAACATCAGGGCCCTACTCTTGTCAACACAGGTAATTATTTGTTATGAGAAATGTTAAAAATTTTAATTTTATCTACACTATATCTGTAAAACGGAGGTAAACAACACAATATCCATTTTTGTATTTGTTCAAGGGAGCTAATGTTCGATAACTTTGAACTATTAAAATTTGTTTCTCTGTTACTAAATCTGTACTCCTGAGGTGAAAGACACTTTTTCGCATTTTTTTATTTTTTCAGATAGCCAATTTTCCAGACTTTTGAGCTATTAAAATTTGATTCTTCGCTATTAATTATTTAATGAAAAATGTACAGAGCGTAGTTCACCTCCGGGACACAGGCATTGAATCAGAAGGGCCGGGATTAACACCAGGAGTATGAAAGTAATTTTTAAAAAAACCTGGCGCAGTGAGCGAATCATACAACTTTCAGTTACCACTCTACTGAGAGTAGACATGTATCAATATACGGAAGAAGTAAAAATCAACGATATAGCTTTATTAATAAAAATTGATTATCATGTGTTTCTTACGCATCGAATTAAATTTATACGTTTGCACCACATTACATTTATTTTTACGACTGTACATAATATCGAATAATACTAATGTTTGTGGTGGAAAATGGATCTTTTGGAAAAGTTCTTAGTTTTATCGGTAAGCATGTGTGTATTTAAGTATTTATTTTGTTAGATTAGTTTATTTTTGTTTAGTTTAGTATCTTTTAGTTTATATACATTTACTTTAGTATTATTATATTTCTGTTTATTACGAAATGGCTGATAGAGTTGCAAAAGAAGCTCTTCCAGGCCGCGGAAAAGCTTTTTTGATACCATCTTAACTTGCACGACCTCTAAGAGAAACCATATCCCAAGAATGGTGAAAACGGTGGGACTTATTATGGAAAATATCGGTCGGTGGGAAAATATGGACGGTGGGAAAATTAAAGACAATACAGTTCTTACCATATATACAAAAACCATTTCATATAATCGCGGGTGAGGAGGGAGAAAGGGAAATTATCACTATTCTTCTTGACAATACCTTAATGTATTTTCAAGTTAGTTTTATTAATTTGGTTGGACTTTACTATGTTTATGTCAATAAAACATCTAAATGTACCTATTCTGTAGCTTTTTTTCTACGATCTAAAGTAAAATATTTAATAAATAGCAATAAGCTAGTAGGTGACTCCAAGACTCTTGCGCAAGATCAAGACTGACTGTGCAAGACCAATACCAAGGTTTGTTGACGCAAGACCCCCTGGTCTCATCTTGGCAACACTAGTCTGCAGCCACAAAACGTTTGTAACAATTTCAATGGAATTTGACTGAAGTCGCCTTCTTGGAGTCCTTTTAATTTATGTGTATAATCTACTCCCCGGAAAGAAGCTTAAAAAAAAGTAACGATGAACTCAGAATTTTATTTGCGAATCTCAAAAGTATACAAAACTATTTTGTGTTATAAAAGTATTTGTACTAATATATAAGCGTAGAAAAAAAAAATGTTAGAAACATGCAAATTTGTATGTTTTCCACAAATGTTTTTAGGAATCATGGTCTAATTGCGACCACGATCATGGGAGAACACTAGTATATATGAATATGAATAGAATTTGAGTTAAGGAGTGTGAGAGAAATGCATTGTAAAGTGAACTTGACATAACAGACTGCCATCCAGCGGTCAATAACAGGAACATTAAACAAATAGAATAACACAAGCCGGACAATATTGCTTAGTTTTGGAAGGGGGAGGTTTAGAGATGGCCGGAATTGTTCCACAACTAGTTTACATATCGATTCCCAAGGTGGATGAAATCAAACTATTCTCCAGAAAAATCTATGCTAAATTTCAAAGCAGTATTCTAAACAGTATTCAGTAAACTAAGCAGTATTCAGTAAACTGGTTCTATATTCTAGAGCTGCAACTATGATGTGATATATTTTTTCTACCATCAGTTGCTTAAGAGTTTTGCATATTATATGATAATCTCTCAGTAACGACTTTATTACTTATTATTAGGTATTTTATAAAATGTTTCATGACAATCGATGTAAATTTCGTTGCAGATTGTTCATATTGTGGATTAGTGCGCTGTTGATGCTGTAGGGCTATAGTTGGAATACGGGATTTAGGTTGATAAATTACTCGATTATTAGGCCCGTGTAGAGCTATAATCAACCACTATCTGCCTTCCATTTTTATTCTCTGGAATTGCCCAGGTTCAAACATATCGTTTCTCCTTTTCAGCTCTTACAATAACTACCTACACAAATAAATTCTCCATTGTTACTCGTCTACCACCTTTATGCAGACGATTGATTCTCAGATCTACCTATCATTTTACTCTCCTGAATTATTGGTAGCATTTGCTAAGATCCAAGAAGACCTAGATGGAATCAGTGGCTGTGTAAACGGATTAAGGTTAAATGCTGCCAAAACGTATGCCATTGTCATTGCTTCGAAGCCCTTTCTTAGATCCCATACTACACCTTAATGACTAGCCAATCTCCTTATACTCCTCTGTTAAAAATTTAGGATTTTCATTGATCAAAACCTCTTCTGGAATCACCATATTTCTCACATCTGTCGACGGACAAGTTCCACCCTCCCGCCATTTCCTACCTCAACATAAGCGTAGACTTCTAGTTTCCGCTCTCATTTTCCTTAACATTCACTACAGCTGTGTGGTGTATGATGGCCTCTGTGTGGAGCAACGAGCATAAACTAAAAACACTAATGAACAATTACGAAAGATTTGTAATTGGGGCCCCAAGATACTCCCATGTCTCTCACTACTAAACTGAGTTAAGGTGGCTTTTCCCCTCCTTCTGAAGCCAACATTTCCTAGGTCCGTTCCTCTACCAAATCATCAACATTCATCGTCGTTCTTGCGCCTAAAACCTTCTACAATTCAAATCCTCAGTCCATTCTCTTTCTACAAGATCTCGACCTTCTAACGCCTTCTCACATATCTGCCTCATTCTAAAACTCCTTTCTTGCTCGCTCTATCAATTTCTGGAATTTCCTCCCTATCAAAATCCCGCATTCCCCCTCCATATCCACATTCGAAACCCTCCTAATGCAATTCCTATCCCAAAAAACATCAGATTTTTGCTAAAAATTTGACAACATACATTTATTTCAAGCCATTCATTATCAAATATGAATGTTGTTCTTTGCTAGAGATATTAATTTTCTTATAGAGTAAAGATTTTCTCACTCTTGATGTCACTGAACTCATGTATTAGTTTTTTATCTTTAATACACCACTAAATTCTTGCCTATAGTAACGTTAAGAAATGATGATGATGTACTTATATATTAATCAACATTAAAATGACAATTTATTTACATACTAATCAGGTATTTTATACTGTCAGGTTCAGCTTTCTCTTTTCTCAACAGAAACACCAAGGCTATTTTAATGAAGAATTTAATATATTTATATGTACATATTTTTTCTTTATTGTTTTCTTAAAAGTTTATACTGGTCTATCACTGCCAATAGTTTTAAGTGTCTTGTCATAGTGTTAATTGTTTTGTATATAGTTGCGTTTGTTTTGTATATAGAATGCTTACCTTATATTTTTTTTACATTATTTCTTTTTATCTATTGCTTTTATTTAGGCCAGATGTAATCTTATAATTTTGTTCTATTTTGTTATTCTCAAGGGACATTTTCCCAGAATAAAGTTATTTTCTATCTATCTAATGCCAGCTGATACCGAAGTCATTTTATGAATAAAACATAGTTCTAAAAATGGAAGTTTAATTTAAAAGATACTTCAAGAAATCCAACCATATTTATTTTTCGGCTTTTGTTAAATTATTAGATTTTCTGGTCCATTCGCCAAAATAAAGCCTCTTGTTCTTAATATCTAATCCCCCACCGCATACATAATCAAACGTGTTCGCAAGTAACCAATAGAGGCAGGTCAGTTCTTGACCTATTTTTACCTGCTACAAATAAACAATAAGTTAAATCAACACTTATTATATAATATAAAGTTATTTAAATCTAAATATCAATCAGTCCTTCATAAATTCAAGGAAGCACTTTTCATAAATACTAAAGCATTGTATGTAGTGCAATCTCCGTGGCTTTTTATAGAATTGCAGGTGTGAAAGCAAATGTATTTAAATAATTTATGTGTCTTGAAATGTGAAAATTGTTTTCTATTCATTCGAGTGGTAGTAGGTATTGTGTATCTCAATAGAAAATTTTGTTCATATCCGTATCAATCCTACTTTTTGTAATAATAGGCAGAGGTGCCCAGAAGGGGTTTTCATGGCGCAAGTTGCGCTACCAAGATTTTGAGATAGGCACATTAGGACGAGATTATGAATTTTCGGAGTGAAAAGTATCAAACCAGAGAACAAGAGAAAAAAAAAACATGGACCAGACTACAGGAAATGTGATTTTGTTTGATCTACAATTTTTCTAATTATAATTTTGGTTTGGTTGTTTTAAAGATGGTGAGATCAATAAAATTTCTTGGGAAGGGGGGGGGGGATTCATGCGCCATTTCTCTTGGAGAAGGAATAGGCAGCCGTGATGATGATAGTTTCATCATCTTATCATAGTAATGATATTCCTCTTAGGCAAATTAATCTTAAAAACATAACTATATTAATTAAAACTACTTTTTAGACTTTTTTTTTGTAATTAAATTCCTAATAATATTCTGAGATATTTTCGCAGCATTTTAGGAATTTGGGATTTTTAGTATTGCGGGATGATGATCATCTGTGTTGAATAGGTTTGGTGACTAATTTTCTGTAATCCAGATAACCATACTTGCGATATTTTCCAGAGATAATGAAGTTATCTTATCGTGAGTTTATAACAATGAAATATTTATTCTAGGTCCTTATTTATGGGTAATTGAGATTCATGAGATTCTAATTCCGTTTGCAGGGACTGTCGGTGGGCCTGCTGTACTGCTTCCTGAACACAGAGGTGCAGAACACCCTGAGGCACCGGTGGCTGCGGTGGAGGGAGGAGCGCTCATTGGCCACCAGGGCCTATGCCAAGGATATGTCCCCCAACACCAGGACAGAGAGTATCAGGTAATCACTACTTGATATATTCAGTGCTACGTTTCTAGCTATCAGCTTTTTTTGAAGGCGGAAGTGAAGGGGATGTACAATGATCTTACTAGAGTGATATTTAGGAATAAAGTTTCATTCCAATCCCAAGACATTGAGATCCAATTTGCGTTCCATTGTGCACCGCTTCTTTTCAAGCATAGCTAATAAACTTGATTGTATAGGCTTCTAGTTCTTTCTATATATATCTAGATATTTCAAGAATTAAAAATAAATAGAGATAGTCAAAAGCAGAAATATTTTAAGATGACACCGAGTAGTAGGTTTATGACCCGACTTATCTTTCCTTATCTGCCACATAAATAAATTGTTCGGCCGATACTGTTGTTGAGGTATAATAAAAATAAAACTGATATGATGGAAACCATACTTTAACCTATAGAAAAACTTGGAGAAGAATGAGATAGAAAACCGGAATACTAATGTTTATTGGAAGAGAAATAACAATCAAGAGGGAACAACATTCTGAAAGAGAACCTGGGAGGAGCACTCAGTCTTAGAGAGATCCTGGAAGAGACTTCAAGATGATGTCGACTTCAAAAAAAAAAAACAGAAAGAAGTAGCTGGAGACTCAAGGATATTCCAACCATATAACCAGTTAAGTCACAATGCTCATGTGGATATCACACTTGTGAATCTGTGTAGGCAATTAAATAACATAATAGAGTAATTAGCCCTACTCGTATCCGCATTCTTCATACAAGATTCATAATGTATATTTGACGTTTACGCCATGAATATACCTTTTTTTTTTTTTATTAAATTTAAATTCTTAGTAATTTTTTTTGTATGCCATCATTTAGATATAAATAATAATAGTAAGTTGGATACACGATACCCTTGGATAGGATATCTGATCCGACTTACAAGTCAATCTAGTGTTTCACAGCAGGGGTTCAGTTTCAAGTTAGTATTCAAGACTAATAACTGCAGCTCCCTGGTATGTGAACAACAAGATTTTACATACCAACCTAAGACAACCAACCATTGACCAGCACATACGTATTCTCTACTCCCAATTTCGTCTTAAACTAAAACGGACATCACAATGGACTTATCAACAACATAGCCATGGATGAAATGCTCATCAGGAGGCGACTGAAAAGGTGCTGGATGAGAGATCTCCTTTCTTGATTTTAGGATGTAAATAGACCAGGGAAGAGGTGTTGCTGGGATCCATTCTTCGTCATGCCAATCATGGCATTTTCTACCTAACAAAAAATCTGCTAATTGTCACTACCATGACAGGTGCGGATGAAGAATTGAAGACAAAAAAATAAATAAATAAATAACTCATTTATTGTTAATAGTTCGGTTTCCTTGTGGGACAGATATAAACAGAACATAAATATGAATTAAAGTAAACACGATTAACATCCCTTCAAATAACGATACATTCCTAGCTACATTTGCTGATGATACTGCCATTCTATCCTCCCACTCAGAACCTCAAATAGCATCTCAAAACCTACAACCCCATCTCTCCTTGATTGAGCAGTGGTGCAGCAACTGGCGCATCAAAATCAATGAAGCAAAATGCAAACATATCACTTTCACCCTGCGACGCAGATCCTGTCCCACAATCCTTTTCAATTCAATACCACTTCCCTACTCAGATACAGTACGTTACCTTGGCTTCCTTCTAGACAAAAGACAAATTGGAACCCACATACGAGACTTAAAAGACAAGAACTTAACCAACGATATAGCCAGCTATATAGACTACTAAGCAGGACATCTCATCTTTCGATTGAAAATAAATTTTAAATCTACAAGACAATACTGATACCTATCTGGACCTACGGACTTGAACTGTGGAGAACTGCTAATCATTCGACTATCAAACGCATCCAATCCTTCCAGTCCAAAGTATTTAGAACAATAGTCAATGCCCCATATTATGTCAAATAAAACCCTACACCATGACCTTAACATCCCATTTGTCCTCGACATCATCCCATCCAGATTCTCAAACTTTCCCCAGAACCTTATCATCATCCAAATCCTCTAGCTCAATCCCTATCCAGCTCCTACCATCCCTACAATCTCCCTCGAAGGTTAAAACTTCAGTGGCCGCGAGATCTATTGTAAATATGCTTCTGGAGTCCTGGCAATGGCCAGCTTCTCCACTCAAGTCCTGAGCATCTGTGGCTCTAGTGCCCTTCTTCAGCCTCCACTGGTTTCTAATACTAGTGATGCGGCTGGAAAAGTGGCACTGGGATTTCGGGAGTCCTGCTTTACCTTCCACATGTGGGAAGAAATGCCTGGCTCGGAGATTCCTGGGCGAATGTATATATTGTATAAAGGTATGAATGTGTTTAGAAGTTTTTATTTTTTTTTTGTTTGTTTATTTTTTTTTCCTATTGATTTACATTTTTTTTATCAGTATTATTTATTTACTTTTTAGATTTATAGTTATTTCTTTATTATTTTTATATACTGTATGAATGAAAACTCCTAGCCTTAATACTTCTGGCCCTCCAACAGTGGCTGATTGTATTATTATTCAATAAAAAAAAAAAAAGTAAGATCATTGTAATACCTTTGGCGTAAGGAAATTAGATTATTTTGATGTATTTAATTTCATTCAGTTTAGCTGTGTCTAAGAAAGACTTTAACAAAGAGGAAAAACAACTCTTCGAACCTGTTGACTGCTTTCCTACTAAGATTATTTTTGTGAGTATTTCCTACTAAGAGTATTGTATATGATCAAATTCCATGTTGTCAAGAATAATATATTGTTACCCTTTTTTATCTTCAAATCTTAATCTGTCTCTGCCATGAATGTGACAGCAAATGTGATGTTGTCAAATTTGGGAAATGTCATTTTAGGCCTAAGGGATAGTATCCAGCTGCTTATTTTTTGGGTCTATGTTAACTTACTCAATTCCTCAAGAAGAAAAGGACATCTACCATCCTGCTCATTTTCAATCGTCTTCTGAGAGGCATGTCAACCGTAGCATTTGTATTTTGGTTTATTATTTTTAATAACGAACGGTTGTGATCGAACGAAAAATTCAAAAACTCAACCTCTTCTCAAAATTGGAGGTTTTAGGTTTTAGGATACGTATAACTCGAAAAACGAATACAAATTTTTTTGTTCGTTTGCTTTCCGCGCATTTTTTTCCGAAACTACAGGTCCGATCTTTTTTAAATTTAGCTTTAAAATAAGAGGTCACCCGAGGATGATTCTCCTTCATCGACATTTCTATCCGCCTTTTCCTTTCAAGACGGCGACCGAAACACCTACTTTGCTATTGACTGTAGCTCCTAAACTAGTGTACCGGTTTCAATCAAACTTCGCTAAAGTCTTATTCTCGATGCCCTTAAAATTTATCTATATAGCATATTTAAAAAAAAAAAATTAACAAAGGATGGTAAAATGGTGATTTATAAGTTTACGGAATTCCCTAAAAGAATTCGTTAAAATCTGACACTTAAGAGCAAAGATATGGTCTCTAGATGTTTTTTATATGTTCTACTAAAAAGGTTATATCCTTTGTTTTGGTTTTTATTTTTGAATATATTACTGAAGTAATGCTATTTTTTTAGCATATTAGTAATGATTAAAAAAAAATGTTTAGTCCAATAAATAGAATCACGTTTTATTCCTTTTTCTTTGGCACTAGTAAGGTAATGTTACTTTAGATGTGTAATTTCTTGGAAATAATAAACCATTGTGAAATAATTCTCAGCGTTTTATTTTATCCTGTGCAGTTTAATATTAAATCGGAAGAAAAGAATATGTATGTGCTTGTCAATAGTTTGTTGTAAGTCTATATAAACTTTCGTTGTTTACATATCAGAGAGCTACTGTTAAACAATTACGGAGAAGATAAGGTAGTTTTCGTAAGTACTACTTTTTTCTTGAACCGTAAACCTTTGAGGTATATGTAAATATGGGTTTGAGTAAGTATGTTATAGATTCAATTTTTGACTGAATTTAAATTTTGATTTGGAATTTTGGGTTGAAACATGGTGTTTGGCTAGGAACGTCGACTAACCTAATAAATATTACTCTGACATGAAAATTTATTCCATCCCAATAATTGATCAGTCGACTATTCACTCATGTCTATCGGTTTATTAGAGCTTACATAATATGCTGTATGTGATTATAAATATTGTTCAATAAACTGATAAAGTGACTGTATAAACAGTATACACAGAAAAAATAAACCGCTTCTTAATTTAAGATTAGACTGCCCTCAATTCAGTTTAAGTACAAATAATTTATTAATAAATGAGTGAATTTATCAATGCATTTTTTTAAATGAATAATAATAAATAATAAAATAACGTTTCCCTAACAAAAATGCATCGACGGATAAACCGAGAACCATTATTTATTATTTATTTCAATAAATATTAATTATATTAATTGCTTTCAAATAATGAAATATATAATTGGAAACGCCTGAATTTCAAGAACCTCGGTTTTAATTATTCTCTCGTTTGTGTCCCATTAATGATGAAAATGAGCTAGAATTCATTAAAACGCCCCAAATTGAGGTTCCTAAATTCAAGAGTTAGGTCGTTAGGAGACAAAATCGAATAATTGGAGAGGGTCAAAATATGGATCCACTCCAAACGGAATAATAGTACCAATGGAGTAGAATTAAAATAACATGTATAATTATTCTTGTTTTTTTTTCACTTATAATTATAATCTTTATCCCTGATATAAGAAATTTCTGTATACCTTTACTACTGTCAAACTTCTTATATATAGAAAAAATATCAATAAAACCCTTTTAATCTAACCAATATGACATCTTAAACATATCGCTAAAATACAATAAATCCGGGATAACTAAAAAAATAGCGATTTTTTACTTTCATGTGACCAAATATTTCTAATATAAGTATTTTTTTCTTCCTATATATACGGTTTCATGAATAAATCGTGTATTTTCTTTGAAGCGTAAACGTGTGCTCTCTAAAAATATTGTAATAGCACAAAAGAAGAGCGATTCCCTTCAGTGCACCGCTGCTAACGATGCCTTTTAATGATTCGTTTTGTAAGGATCAGATACTACCTTTTACCAGAAAAATCACAGCCAACGGTTAAGCTGCTTAAACTATCTCTTTTCGTTAACAAAATAGTCT